TCCACAGTTCTTACGATATATAGCCTGTATCAACACAGTTAGTTATAGTCATCCCTGGGCTAAAAGTATAGATAAAGATATGGATTAATGTGGTGAACAGACCTCGGTTTGGACCTGCCAGTGGTTCTGAGTGTGGATGTGTTTGAGGAGGCCTTTGATGTCCAATGAGCCTTCATCCTTTATCTGCTTCAACCCGCCGTCCAGGACCATGAACACGCCCGCCTGGTCCCCGGTACTGTGCAGAGGAATGAGAAATAAAGGCAGAGATGTATAAAGTACTGGAGTAGAAATACAAGTACTACATAAAAAAATTGACTTGAGTAAAAGTAGAAGTGTTCTTTCAACTCCATACTTAAGTTGAAGTACGGAAGTACTCCATTTTTTTTTAACTTAAGTATTGCAAGTAGAAGTATTTCAAAAATTGCTACTCAAGTATCAAAAGTACAAGTAGAAGTAGAAGTACAAGTACTGTGTACATTTTTAAAAAAGGCAGTCAAAAGCGTGATAGATATTGTTTATATTATTTAAAACGAGTGAAAGGCCATACAGGTGTTTACAAAAAACAGAAAACTACATCTGCATTAGCATCAACAGCACTTCATCTGCTATTATTTATTATTCCAGAGTCAGAATCCTGAGCTGAGCCTTTATGCTAGCATGTAGCATACAGCTAGCCAGCTAGGTTAGCTTTAGCTAACGTTATCATACAGCTAGCCAGCTAGGTTAGCTTTGGCTAACGTTATCATACAGCTAGCCTGCTAGGTTAGCTTTAGTTAACGTTATCATACAGCTAGCAGCTAGGTTAGCTTTAGCTAACGTTAGCTGCTACGTCCTGAGTGAACAGGGAGAACTAAGCTAGTGCTTAGTGGAGTAAAAGTAAAAGTAGGGGAAAAAAATATATATTCCAATAAAGTACAGATACTGCCTTTTGGTACTTAAGTACAGCACTTAAATAGTTCTACTTCGTTACTGAACATCTCTGGTCCCCGGTACTGGGCAGAGGTGGAGGAATAAAGGTTAATCCCCGGTTTATCAGAATCAGAATCAGAATCAGAATCAGAATAAGGTTTATTGCCAAGTAGGGTTTTAGACTTACAAGGAATTTGCCTTGGTGTTTGGTGCACAACACAACACTTCTATGAGAAGCAAGAAATAAAGTGTAGAAATTAAAAATATAGGACAGAAATGCTAAAACTGAAAAATACAGTCTTTAAAAATATAGATCCGAATGTACAAACGAACAAACTTTAAAAATATAGACCCGAATGTACAAATGAACAAACTTTAAAAATATAAATCTGAATGTACAAATGAACAATTGAAATGTGCAATGTTGATATGCAACGACAGACCAGAAAATGCTGACAGTAGCATTGTGTATATTAGTGAGGTAGAGGGGGGTGGGAGAATAATAGTTGGGGGTTGCTGGCCTTGTTGATGAGGCCAGTTGCTGTTGGAGGAGGCTGCCTGTTACCTGCCGTGGACCAGAACCGGTCCGGGACCCCTCCAAGCTCTGGACGACTTCCGAACAAAGGAGAGAAGAGGCAGAGCGAACTCTGGGACGCCCCCGTCTGGCCACTGGGTGTAATGATACAGCTCCACTGTCCGTTCATTACCCTTCTCCTTCTCAGAGCCCTGCAGGGGAAAGGGAAGAATTAGAAAGTTAATCATCCTATGTTGAGGTTGTATGGATACTCTGCCTTAAACAGTCCCAAAACATTCACGTTAGATTAAACGAGAAAATTTCTAAAGAAATTTTGAGGGGGGCCACCTACTGCCCGTCCAGGAACCCGGGGCTGGCTTCCTGGGGCCCTCAAAACTTGGACAATGAATATTTGTGCTCTCTGTAATGTGGGCTTATGCCTATGAGAGGGCCTGAAGGAGAGACGCAGTGATTGAGGGACCCGGCTGAGCTCTGGGGCCCGCTGACCGAATGTAATTGGTTTGAGCAGGTCGGGGGTCACATTGGCTGAAAGCTGAGAAAAAGACCTACGCAACGAGGTATGACATGGCTGGGTCCGGCCCCGGTCCGGTTGGGTCCGATCCCCAGAACCAGAACCAGAACCAGAACCGGGCTCTGACTAAAGCCCTCTAAGCGAGCTTCGCCCGCCTGGTACCAGAACCAATGTATTAACCAAATCTTTCT